AAATTTCTCCAAGTAACTTGGTACGGGAAAAATTAAAGCTAATTAGATTAGCGGTTCAAAATTTTATCGCAGGCACTCGGTTTTAAATTTACCTTGAGTGATTGACGTTTTGTTACATAGTTATTTGATTGCAGCCATTTCTTGTAATGCTCGAAAAACTGTCATTGGGTTAGTTAAACAATTGAAGAACAAACAAAGTTTCACGCGTAGAAAGATACAAGCACCCATATAATACCTTTTCGTAATTATTCTCTAAGAATTCCGCAACTAGCGTCTTGTGTTTCGTCATTAATTCCTAATCGACATAACAAACAACCGTTAAAAAAACCGAAAAATCTTTTTATAGAAAACACCATATGCAAAAAATACTATCCCCAAACACCCAAAACCCCCCTTTTGAAAAAAAAGACCGACCTTGAAATTGGCAAACGCATCTGTTGCAATATCAAAATTGCTGACTTCCACGTACTCGAAGAAATTGTAAAATTGTTGAGAGTACAAAATAATCTTTGACAGCGATTCATGTCGGAGACAGTCTTTTAGGATTAGACCACAGATTAGTGCTATCTCTTGGTTTTCGTATCTGCATTGATAATATATTTCTTAGTTTAATTTGTTAACCGCATTCCAACGACATTGTTTTGATTATTACCAACCCTTTTAACAGTGTGAATAAAATTTCCGGTCGGTTGTTGAGATAGTCTACTGTCGGTGTTAGGGATCCAACTTGACGACGTAAAAGGTTATTGAATATTTGAGACACATCTTTCTTTGCCTGTTGGAAACAATTGCAAAAATTATTTCTAATATTTGCAACAATTCATAGTATGCAGATACTTGGTCTAGCAGATATATATATATGTTCGAAATAACTAACATCTCTCAATTACTAACATAGCCCATCTCTCGCTCATTTCTCTCCAAATCACCTGCTATCCCTTAAGCACTTGTATACGCCATGACTCATACCTCAAACTCGAATCTCCAGATGTTTAATACTACCAGTTGTAGTAAATCATTGTTATATACTTCCTGGGCCAGCTGAGCAACCGTTTCTGGGACAGGATCATTTTCTGAGAACAGAGAGAGACGGATTAGAATGACGATAAGAGGGAGAAATGAGGGAGAAATGATAGTTGGCTCCCCCCAGCCAATGATACAGCCAATCAAAGTAGCAAATAAAAACTAATTTATTCATCAAACTCAAATTCCGTCTCTTTTCACCCCCCATTTTCTGCATCTCTGCCCAACTCTACTTTCCCCCCCTTCCCCGTCCGCGTTCCGCCCATTCCAGGCCTTGTATTGTCTTTTCCTCCGACAAGCCATCGCATACGGTCTTACCTCCTTCGCCGTAAAGAATAACCTTCATCGTCGCCAGGTTTTTAGATATTTCCTCATTTGCCTAGACAGAAAAAGAAACCAACATGGATTAGGGGAGGGGCAAGATTGTATAAGATTGGTCTGGATTTCGTGAATAGCATTATCGACTCGTATATTCGGTTCAATGGCTCGTACTGTCACATGTCTCTTTCTAGTCTTAGTTGGTTTGTTTCTCAATAACGCTAGCATCGTTGTCATTCTCTACGCACCTTTTTCTTTTCTACTCCATCCAATTTTGCAACGGCGTCTTTGACCACTTTCACTATATCATGAGGCGTTTTCTGTCTTGACTTGAATAGGAAAGCCATGTTGCAGGTATCTATATCTGTTATATTACACTCTAATACTCTGACCTCTTTTCTTGTATTCTGAGTATTGCGTATGTATATTACATGTATAATAAATGCGTCTGACACTTGTGTTTTATCCCTCCTTTCTTTTCCCACTCGGTTTTTTTTATATTTTACGAGTATTTATAATGATATTCCCCTTTCGATGATGTCGAGATGACCCCTCAAATTCTATAATTCAGGTACTATCGCACTTAATATGGAGGGAGAACGGAGTGTGGAAGTGGGATGGGAGGGTTTTGCCCTTTGTGTGTGTACCAGAGAAAGAGTTGGTATTAGCAAGTTGATGAGTTCTGTTGTGCGATTGGCCAGAGATGTGGTGGCGCAGTTAGAATAATTTCAATGGTTAAAGAATGTGCGATAAATATTAGTTAATATTAATGTAAAAATAGATATGAGCTTAAATGCTTCTTTTCATTATCGGGTCACATATTTTTTTTTTCAAATATTCGAGGAATTCATTACCATTTGATTATCACAAATGATGTCATAAAATGTTTATGGTGGGCAGTACAGACTATATATATGATTGTTACAGTATGGTTGGGACACTATATTCCCACGCGGAATACAAGTTGTATCTGAGTTGATCACGTGGAAGTAAATTCGACCAACAAGATAGAATAAATACGGGGAAGGGAATATGAGTATTGTAATGGTATTAGTTCTATCACTGTTTAGTATTAATGCTTGTAGTCATGCCATGTGCTGTCCTCATAATACGATAACCCATTTTCACATTCCCTCTTTCCTTTTTCCTGTATTATGCACGAACCAGTGAATTACGTAAACTATGCTGCGGGTGATTAATATTAAAATTATTATTGTCAATTAAAGGATAGGTTACTCTATGGATATATATATATAATTCTTGTATGACTGAACCTCACGCCTTTACGTTTATGGTTATTGAACCTTGCACAATCTTGACTCATTTTACAGGTAAACCAAGGTCCGTCCATTCACACAGCCCTTGTGACAACAATGCTTACTTTTGGCACAAAGACGTATAATAATAACTGGGCGTACAGATCAAATCGAAAAAAGAGCTTTTTTCAAAGGAAAGGGGAAAAAAAAAGGTGGCGAGGTTCTGATTGCTACTAATTCATTCCCAATTATGTCAGTGTCGGTACAAGCAAAAACGGAGAAAGCCATGGGCAGTGTACGTTCTACAAGGTGATGGTAGGTGGATAGGGTAGCTAGCAATGGTAACAAAAGCAATGGTAATGGTGGTAGAGAAAAGAAAGAAAAAGAAAGCAAATGACAATAGTCTAGTTGTTAAAGGTCATGTTTTATTTGTTTTGGCGATCGCTTCTTCGTAAATGGTAAATTAAAAAAATATATGTTAACATTAAATGATGGAAAGGGGGCTACAACTCTAATATTGCAAATATGCATATTACTTCTCTTTGGCGCTTTAACATTTTAAGGGTTCATCTGACACACCTCACTCCAACATAAATGCACCCCTTATACACCCTCGAAGAATCCTGATACTCATTCCATGAGAACGCTCTGAAAACGCTCTCCCGCAATTATCTTCACTTTCCCACTGATAAACAACACGGCATATTGTTAGGGACTTGTAAGGGGCATATCAAGCGATTGACCAGCACACAGAAGAACCCGACTGAAAGACGAAACAGACAGGAGCAGTGAAAAAAACCGATAACAACAAGAAAAAAAAAAGAGAGAAAGAAACGTAACGACTAGAATTACAAGAGAAGAAACAATACCAGCATTTCTAACTATCAATACTAAATAGAACAATAGAAAAAGGGGGAGACACAAAGAGAAGACGGAATATCAACCCGGCAACTCACAACCATTCTTACAGACGATACCCATCAAACGTACAGTTACCAGCGCACATACATACACACGCACACCAACGACACAATCGCAGACCACAGAGACTAGCAACATAAACGACGCAAACAATAAACACAACAAACTGCATTGACAACGACAATAACACCACCATCGCCGTTTCTCAGTTTAAAATGTGCGCCGCTCCGCTGGAAGCAAAAGTTGTAATCTTGGGCAGTCAAGGCATGAAATCCAATAATATTATTTCTACTGTGGCTTACGCTTTTCTAACACACGACTCATGGTTTAGGTGTCGGAAAGACGTCTCTTGTAGTTCGGTATGTCACCAAAACGTTCTCACTCAACGCAGCATCAACCATTGGAGCTTCCTTCATGACAAAGAGACTGTAAGTTGTTGACTATGTCAATAGTATTTATTATCATTGAACTATTCGCTCTCTATTCTATTGCGTGTGTAAAACCACTACTCCCTTCCTCTCCTTCCTTTCAATTCCGTGTGTTCTCTTTCTTCTTCCTTTTTCTTTCGTTCTTTTGTCATTTTCCCCCTCTCTCGAATTTTTTTTTTCACCCTATGTAAATCATCATATGACGGATCATTTGTCTTGGGATTTACGTAAAAGAGTTAAATCGCGTGCGACCCCTTTGTACAACAATTTATGATCACATAAACGGACAACAAAATAGATTTTTTAATATTGTCCATTTTGATTGATCGTCCACTTGTTATTCACTTTTATTATTTTTTCTGTTTTATACACAAGTAGTTATTTTCCCTTTGTAAGTGTGAATAGGGAGTAGACAGTTAAGTCGATTGCCATTGCGCCTTTTTTTGCTGCAATTCACACACTCTCTCTTTTTTTAAGAGGCGAATCGGCATGTCAGAAAGTTTTAGACTAATCAAATTTGCATTCTACTAATCAGCGTTGTAGATAACTGTAGAGTTAGACTGCAAATATGGGACACAGCAGGGCAAGAGAGATTTAGATCAATGGTATGAATGAAAGAGCGAAAACTATATTGTGACGCATGTCTTGGCTTTTTGGATCGTTTTCATGTGTTGTTAACCCGTACGCTTCAATTTTAGGCACCAATATATTACAGAGGGGTATGTACAGAAGAATCACGATTGATTAGCTAGAAACTACAGAAACAATAATAATGATGAAAACCAAGTCATCATAATTCCGAACTATTCACGATTCATACTCATTGTGTGTTTATACTGATTAGGCAAATGCTGCAATTCTAGTATATGACATCACATCAGAAGAGAGCTTTTTGGAGATGAATTCATGGATTGAAGGCAAGTGATCAGGTCATTATAACTCTGTTTTAGTGATCATTTTCGAACACGACGAGTCGTGCAAATCGTCAACGCAATACATTAAACTAAAATACCCAAATTTAAAACTTTCTTTAAACACAGAATTACGTAAAAACATGAAAGATGACCTAAGTGTGTTTATCAGCAATATCTACTCTTCAACTACAATTAAAACGAATGCATAATGTATACTTATTTTACGTTTAAAATATACTGTATTCATTCAGTAATACATGTCGTAGGCAACAAACTCGATCTCGCGTCAACTCATCGAGTCATACCACTCAAGCGCACACAAGAATACGTCTCACGCATACTGGGGAATGACTATGCTGTACACGAAGTGTCAGCCAAAGATGATAAAGGTACGTTTTATAACGACTGCCCCACAATTTGTATCAAATCAACCGTACTCGTTTTAATTTCACCATGCAGATACATGAAAACTGAGCACTGTTATTACGACAATTCAATTGCCTTTAGGGATCGAAGAACTTTTTCTTCAAATCACAAGAGCTCTAGTTGATCGTAAAAACAACCGAGATGGTCGACCACCAATACATGTTAATCCAGTATATGTCGCAATAGATGACTCTCAACAGACAACCGATGCAACGTGTTGCAATTCATGATTTTAGATGAGTGATGACATGTAATATTTTTCTTGATTTTTTTTTTATTCTTCAAATATGTATCAAACATTTTCCCCCCCCTCCCATCTCCCCCTTCTCAGGGTGTTGAATAATTTGTTGTGTATTCATCAATCAATGTCAAAACCAGACCCTTGAACAGCATTAATAGCGTTTGTTTCCGTATTTTCTCGACAATTTGGATCAGTGATTGTAAGCATTTAAAAAAATCCCACCTTTTTTTTTGTTTGTTTTCATCTTCATATCCTCCCCGGATAAAAACACAAAAACAATATATTCTGGAAAGTTTTGTATTTTATGCCATACGATATGACAAGAAGAGAAGGGTTTTTATTCGATTCTCCTCTCGCCTTCCGGGATTTTCGATTATTGGTTTTTTTACCTCCATGAATTTATATTATTTTGATGGACAGTTGTGGAAAATTCATGATATCATATCACAGTCTTCCTTCTTCTTCCTGACTCATTTTGTCACAAACTGTATGTTACTTTTTTCTTCATTCAAATTAAACATAAGCTGATGCATAAAAAAGATATTATGCAACGACTAGATATTTCAAGCTCGGTTTCTGAATGTCCATCTAATGGTCAGTGGTATATATGTACCATTGATCTAACTGTATTTCCTGGACATGTTGGAAACAGGTAAAGCAGGAACTCTGGCCCGTTTCGATCTTCGCCAACATTTCGTTAATAAAGTCTAGAAACAGGCACTTGGTGCTTTCAGCCCTGATAGCTCAGTCGGTAGAGCGTGAGGCTTTTAACCTTAAAGTCGAGGGTTCGAGCCCCTCTCAGGGCGGGCAAAATTTTTTTGTGTAATGGTACATATCCATATGTGGAATAAGACAGCTTAATATAGTAAAGACCAATTCTTATCGACTTTCGAGGCAAATTTAGTATTAGGGGCCGACGGCTTTCCTTCTCCTCCTTTGCAAGCTCGCAATTATTATTTTTTTATGAAAGGGAGTGACTAGGCAAGAAATTTTCGTAGGCGCGACTGTTGCACGAACCTGCAAGAACGTTTTATGGACTCAAAGACTTTCTGCAGCCGGTCTGACTCAACGAGTAGAGCGTAACAAAAATAAATTATTTACAATTTATCTATTCGTTCTCATTTGGTCTATTCGATGCATCTGAGACAAATTAAAAGCTTTGTTTCGCACTTTTCTCTCTTGTGTTTGCTTGATAACGTGCGCTTATTATTAAGTTTATTTTTACCAGATTTAGAAAAACTCCGAGTCTGTCATTGTCAAACTTTAAAAACATCAAAACGGCCATGCTTATCATCTGTAAACAGCTGCAAGATACAAAAACTTTTCAATAGAAGGGTGGCTCTGAAATATTCAAAAGCCTTTCCCCAATTGGCAATAGACCAAGGACATTTCAGTGGAACATCTCAAGAATCAAAGCAACAACCTCAACTAATTGCTTGTATTGAAGTTAAAAGATCTAAGAAGTGACTTTGATTGAAGTTAAAATAGCAGTTAAACATTAAAAGAGTTGAACAAAACTTAAATTTTGTTTTAAGGTTTTAATTCTTGGATAAAATTATTTTATAAAATATTATTAAAGTGGATAATTTTATAACGGCGTAATCTATCCTTTTCAAACTATCTTACCCAGAAATCCCTCTTACGACACTCCGAACAATCCGTCACTAACTTAAACGACAATACCATTATTACATAGTTTCAGTTCACCAATTCTTTATTACCGCCCCACCTAATCATATTTTCTAACGTTTTACCCACAGATAAATGCATACAAATGTCACATCTCTTCAAAATCTTCGATAAGCGTTCCACGAGCACGGACTTGGTCGAAGGCTGTCGTCACTATAAAAACGACCACTCAAATACGAAACGGTATGGCTATTTCTATTGCTCAAGCAACACAATACGTTTCGGAAAGTCGCTATTCAGTAAAATCGGCAGAATTCGAAATACTAGTCCATCATCACGTTATCAAGGAAAACCTCTCTAAAAAAGCCAGATTAGGCTCCAAGATTTACACTCGTGAGACAATTAAATGGAACAAGCATTACACAGTTTCGATTTCATACCCACTAACGACAATCAACCTAATATAACGTATTCAACTCCCATTTCTTCCACTGCGGCTTCTGAACAAAGAAATCACCTGTATCAATCACGAAACGTTATAAGGTTGCACCACGCCTGAAATCGGAAACTCGGGAAAATGTGCTACACTGTAAAAAACAAACATTCCCAAAATCAACCTCACGAAAACAAGCCAGCCACGAAAAAGAGAATTACACTCTTCAAAAAATTTCTACCTCGGCCACAACAAACTTAATCTTCCGCCATACGAAGAATAAGAATAACATTAAAGCTAAAAATGTTATTAGTTTTTCCTTTTTACATATTCACGCGTCATCAAATTTTAAATAAATGTCACACGCGCTATTCATAAAACTAATATGTCCCATATCAATACTGGTAATAAAAGGAGCGACCCAGAAAAGGACCCCTCAAGCCAAGTAGAGGCAAATTCTGGCCAATCACAAAACAAAATCAAGCCCCCAAACCAAATAGCCGAAACGAATTACATTCAGGGAAGAAAACTTCTGACCTAGCATCAACGAAATTAAATCTTTTACTGTTCGATAAACAAGGATAATGCATTTTTTCATTTTTATAGTTTGTAAAAGTTCAAATTTTAATACTATATAAATAAAATAATAATATACATATAAAAGTTACGTTAACTCATATACAAAATTAACTCATGCTACACTACACTTTCGTACCATAAACGAAGTATTACACTTTTTTAAAAACCATCACCAATTTATACTTGAAACAATGACCTTCCTCCTCCAATATTTCCAGATTGCGAGAAATCTACTTCGCTTTAGACATGCCCTAATTCCATCTAAAAATTTGTTCATGTGCATTGCGCAGCAGGTTTTTTGCTACTCTAGTTATTATTATAACGGTGAATAAAATTTGACATATTGGTCACGTGGTTCTTGATAATAATAGGTCGGTCTACCATGCCCAGCTGTGTATATAGAAACATATAAAAGAATTGTTTTCGAGACGGTATATTCATGTGTCTAATATACTGTATCTGACATACGCAATGACGATAAATGTGAACACGTGAACTGCAGATCCATATATACAGTATTACTGTATTGACTTGCATCTATCCTATAAAGTGCAAAGTGTCTCATGTACCGGTGACTGTATGAAAATGACCAACTCAAGATTTCCCATTGTTGAATTGATTGCTGTAATGTTTGTATTGTTTACTCAAATAGCTTAGCTAAACTCAGAAATACCCGACAATATTGAAATACTATTATTATTATGGCTATCAATGATGTCCCATCACACCACTAATCATCAACTGTCATCGTATTTAGAACGACTTCCATTCCACCCAAAACCAAACAATTTCTACCGCACGTCAAAAAATCTTCCTCCACATCAAAAAAACTTTCCCCCACATCAAAAAAACTTTCCCCCACATCAAAAAAACTTTCACATACTAAAATAGCCCTGCCTGCTACGCCAGAGTCAGTTCAGAGCATCAGCGAGGTGACCTTGAATGACAGATTGCGAATCTCCGACAGCACTACCCAGTCTGCGATACTAGCTCCAGTGAGTGAAGTATTGTGTCTTTTTCTCATATTGTAGAACACTAGAACCAAACTATATTCCATTTCAGATCTCGGTAATATCTGGGACATAATTAAGGACAAGGGCGTCCGTCGTAACATCAGCGGTGGCTTGCTGTGGGGGAGTCTGCGCTGGAGTCAAATATACAGTATTATGAACGCAAAAATCGGACGTGTCGAAGCGAGGATAGACGGAGTGGAGAGGAGAATGGGCAGAATAGAAGTGAAAATGGACGTATTAGATAAGAAAATGGAGAGGAGAATGGAAAATGGACGAGTTACGGT